ATTCGATAAGAGCGACTTTTATAAAAAAGAATATTGTAACTTTTGCGAAGAATTCTTGAAAACTTAAAACTTATTACCAGTTGTTTTTAACACAATCAAATTCAAGATTTGAAAATGAGCAAATTCCTTGATAATCCAAAACACTTCTTTGAGCTTAATAATTTATTTTCAGTTTGAATATTTCTGTTTCAAATTTCAATAAGAAGTAAAATTTTTAGCTTCATCTTCATCGGGAAACATTGCATGGAAGACGGGGCGAATCTTCGGAAGCTGCTATATTGAATGTTAAAGCCGATATCAGGTATAAACAACAGTAGCTTGTATTTTATTGGTAAAATTTTAAAAGAAAAAAAGATAAAAAAGTTTCACAATGGAGAGGATCAGGTAATTTCTAAACAATGTCCTTATCAAAATCCAGTCAAAATTTGAACTAAACTAATTCATTAGGTTTATATTTCATTTCCAATTTAAGAGTAATTGCAGGAGGATGAATGAAGCAGACGTAGATCAGTTCGACGATGATTTCGAGGATGATGAAAAGCTCATGCAGGCCGATCGTCCATCAGTTATTCATAGGACACGACATTTCAGGCAACGCAAAAGAAGAAAAGGTATTTGTAGTCATAGTGTATTATCACGAGATTTTAATCAAATCATTTACTGAAATTAAATAGGAAAGATATATATGTATATACATACATATATGCAGAATTTCATTTCTTTTTAAAATGATTCTTAGAATTGACATTACCAGTAGCCCTCGTTATCATCTCACCTTTACCAGAACTACCAGTACTGCAACATATTTATGGTAGTTAAGGAAGAGAGCTAATATGAGTAATGATAATTAACTACTAAGAATTGCCAGGTTATTCAGCACAAATCATAATGAAATGATGTTTGACAATCGTTCTATAAATCATTCTTTACAATAAATACAATCATTGTTTGTATTAAGTTTAAGCTTAATACAATCATTCTTTGGGCATCAGCTGCACGAGTAAAATTTTTAAGTATGCAGCAACATGCACCAATTTGATATAATTAAACGGTAATCAATAATACGTCTAGACATATCAGAGAAGCATGAAACTGATAGGTTTACTCTTGAATAACGTTTTATCAACTACTACAATCAGTCAAATTCCATTTCTCGCATACCATATAACCCCTGACAACACCACCATGTATGTGCGATCTTATCACAAAAATCTTCAAGGACAGTAATAATTTGAAATTTGACATCAATTTTGTCCCAATTTAGAATTTTATTTGCGGCTCCATAAGATGTTTCGACTGCATTTTAAAATAATGTTTCACAATTTGGATTAGCCTGGCTGTCAGCTCGACATAAAAAACAAGCTCAATTTGTACTAACCTAGCAACGAAACGAACCATTTAATAATAAAGTTCATTTTAAAGGAAGAGATACTTCATTGAAACGAATTATACCGAACCCAGACAATCGTCCATCCTGTGTAGATTGACTATAAATTGTACTGAATTTCAGGCTGCGGTGCCTCAAGACATGGCTATCAGCAAATGTTATGTCCGACACGAAGCTCCCATCACTACGATGTTTGCATAACATCGGAACAACTCTGTGACGACACTCCTGACTGTCCCGGTGGAGAGGATGAAAATCCATCAAATTGTCTCTTTTATAAATCTGTAAGTTTTAGCTAACATTTACAAAAGTAACTTAGTTTAATGTTTCTTGCAACAAAAAAATTTGCCTTGCATTCCATCAAAAGTTAAAAGTTTTCGCGTTACACTGGCATTTTTATCAATGTTTGAAATTTCCTAATTTCTTGTCAGATTTTCGTTCCCAAATTTTTAATTTAATAAATTTTCAGATAAAAGAACAGTTGAAACATATTTACAATACCGTACTTCTGCTAGCCGATCATGTTGCGGGTCAGAACAGCCATCGTGAATTGTGACCAACTTCGTGAGGAGTTACCGGTCCCTACACAATAAATTGTATTTATCTCATATAAGATCGAGACTGAGGGACAAATACAGACAAATAAGAAGACAGGCAGACAGGGAAAGAACACCAACTGGAATTTCACGTGGGCGCAAATGTCCGTCTGTTAAAAAATTTTAGAGAAAAAAAAGAGAGAAATGAACCGGACCCCTCCCTCCCTCTCAAAGATTTTACCTGTTAGTTGATCTCATTGTTTACTTGTCTTTGCGCCTAACTCAACAGATATTTGCATGCTTTCTCATCACTAGTTTATTTGTATTTCACCATAAAAATTTATATCCTTCTTTATTGAAAAATTCCCTGATTAACAAAAAATCAAGCCAGTATTAAGATCCAGTGGCTGAATTGATTATGATTTGATCCGAAACAGTTACATTCATTTACATTATATTGTCCAAACAAGTTATAATATTCTTTTATTTTCATTTTATAATCCAAACCAATCATATTAGCACGATCCTAAGAAAGGTATCGAACATTCTATAGCCATAAGAAATCTGAACTTCTTACTCCCAGCTTTCATCTAACACCGCAGCGATGTTACAGTATTCAAAAAACATATTCTTCAAACAGGTTATGGAAAAGAGCTCATTTTAAGAAATGAGAAAAAACTGCATCTGAATAATCGGGAAAATGTTTGAATTTCAACAAATCTAAAGATGAGATTGAAATACAAGTGTTACGGTTGCAAAAATATGTGCATATGGAAAGAGAAAATATTTTATTAGAAGAGACCAATAATATCGAATATGTCATTAATTAAAAAATGCAGTACAGAAAAGATAATCCGATAATTTTCAAAAAATACGAAAGGAAATCAATAAGCGGTTAAAAAAGCAATTAAAAATTTGCAAAGACTTTGTCTAACACCGAATGAATTACTCATTCAAACACCGGATAATGGAATTAAATTAATCCCTATAAGAGGAATATGATGTCGATTTATTTGACCACACGACAATAATGATTTACTGGTCGACAAATCCTTAATAGACAAAAAATCTATAACACATAACGAAGTAAGTCTCATTAATTATTTAGATTAAAATTATCAGTCAACTACATGTCTACTTTCACTTTGTTGAAATTAAATGAAATGGAAGTAATTAACCTAGCGACAAGTCCAAGCCTAAACTTGACGCAGCTTAAGCTTGGAACAAGTCTGTAGAAAGATGCTTATAAGACACGATGATAGTCGAACAAAGATATCACATCCATGTGATTCTTTTACATTCACTTTATAATATAATAATATATATCAGGGATGTTCAGTGTTCCTTATTGCGTTTTGGATTGTTCACTGCAACATAATGAAAAAGAATGATAAGAGCAAAGATGGAAACACCAACTAAATTCGAAAATACCGCCAACTGTACGTCTGTTATCATCGTATTTACTCCTGTTTGTCCTGAAATGATATGAATATGTCAGAAACCTATATAATATCTGATAAAATCTGATTGTAGAAGAAAAATGGCCGGCAATCTTAACTTCCACGAACGTATTTCTCTTCACATTCAACTATTCCTGTTCTTTTTTTGTATGTATTGTAAAAAAGTAGTAAAGTAAAAACTTACAAACTTACTTATCAGCACTTTTTGGAATGATCGGTCACCTATAACTGATAGAGCACTACCACACCGAATTTGCTTCTCAACTTGCTGAGAAAATAACTAAATATGAAATTAATTTAATACAGAAAATGTTATACAAATTACATATGTGAAGTGGACACAAGATAAAGTAAGTAGCAACGAAACGTGCGCAGAATAGTCAGTATAAGACTTAATAAAATGCATGAAAGTAATGCAATACCAAGTTTTTACCCCGACTGCTTAAACTATCTCAATAATAAAATAACTTTTTGAACTATCTGACCGCATTCTAAATTAGTAAACGTCGTGTAACCTTCAGCATGCTACAAAATGTTGCATTTCTTCGTTGACTACTTGAATGAATCTATCAATCAGCAGTTCTTGCCTCATTGTACTTTCAATACTACCTACCTCAATACCTAATCGATGATCCTCCACAAATCAAAGATACCGGATATCATAAACAGACCAACTGCCGCCATCCAGACCTATTGATTTACTGCATTTCACTATCCGTTTTTTCGACATTTCTGACCGTAACTTCCTTAAAAGTCAAAACTAAATTCTAATATAACTTCACCAAAGTATTTGCTCTCCTACTCAAATCATGGCAACTCCTATTTTCAATTTATAACTCAACCACTCCCCAAATCCATCACTCATCAGCATACCACTTTTTAAATTCGTAAATTTTATACGACAAATTCCCACCACTGACGATCTCGAATGAAGTGAAATTCCGAAAAATACGAACACAACTCCCTTCTTCATGCCTGACCCCGGGAGTTTTCATAATGAGGATTGTGAAATTTTAACTGACAATCGATAAACGATTCAGCTATCATAGGATATGGCGGTGGAGGTTAGGTGGTGGATTGAGGAGGCTGCGGGGTTAGCTCTTTTATTTCATTGAAGTACCTCGGGATTCGGGATTCGGTTTCACTGCTTGATGAAACATTAAGATGTGATCATAAGAATGCACTGGAATGGTTTGGTCTCACTGTGGACGAAAGTGTCATTTTGACTTTTGTGCTGCATGTCCAATTTATACACTGTTTTTAAGTTGTCGATGTCATCGATACATTACAAATTCAAAGCAACGCTTGAATACAAAACACTGGTATTTGATGGCTTACATATATCCGTCATTGATCTCAAGAAGGAAATATGTGAAAAGGAAAATATTAAGGTAGGAAATTTATTGTTAAATGTTCATCTTATCAGCATTTCATAAATACCATTACCTACTCCACTCTTGTCCAGTTCGCAGGTAGGACTAGAAATGAAATAATTTATCATATAAAGTGCAAAAAAGAACTCATATGAATATATAAGGTTTCTTCCCAGATGAATTTCTGCAATTCGATTGAATTAAAGTTTATTATAACTGAGAAGACAAGGATGCTACTTTCATCTAAGTCATGGTAAAGAATTCATAACTGCCAAAATGATTTTTGGTGTGTTACTAAACAGTATATAAGTTGACAAACCGAATCGCAGAAATATTTTAGAGGAAAATTTTTCGGAGTACTTCAATAAATACATTTCATAATAAGATGAGTTTTCAGGCAGAATCCTTTGACTTAGTGTTGACAAACGCCCATACAAAGCGTCAATATACGGGTGACGAGTTAATTCCTCGAAATTCATCGGTAATCGTTCAGCGAATACCACGTGATAATGCTGCGAAACTGCCAAAAGTGCAGTAAGTTTATCATTTAAATATTTTACCCTTCCTGCTTCTGTAAGGTTTTCAGTTACTTAATGTGCCCTTAATTTTTTATTAATTACATTCCTTTGCCAGAATATATCTACGAATTGATGGATCAAAAATTTTTTCAGAGACACTACAAATTCAGGAATCGTGACCAAGTCCATACCAGCTGAAGCTCCCGTTGTTGGGCATATTGATTCAGTAAGCTTCATTATAATATTTCGTATTTTTTCTGAATAACGTCGAATTTAATTTTTTGAATTTGTTGTGTTGTTATGTTGCATTAACAAAATCTTTTTTAGGAGGAATTCGACAAAATGACGGAAGAAGAGCGTTTGGCACACGTAAAAGAAGTTTCTACGTACAAATATTTACCTTCAAAGTACGTAATTAGCTGTTCTTGTTCATCTCTATTAATATACAGCTTCATGTTTTAATATAATCTTATGAAGACTGGTATTAAGACTAAAATAAAAATGGAAGTCTTATTCTTATTTTTTTGTTCAAAATACTTTGATATATACGGCCTAGAATTTTTTTCTCATCTTCATAACAGAATTCATGACTTTCATTTGGAGACTTTCCATAAGTCTGTAAATGTTGATATCAAATTTTTTAGTTTTCAAAAGAAAACGTCATCGATAATGTCTGGTCCGCCGCCACCAACTTACGTATGCAATCGATGTTCACAATCAGGACACTGGTACAAAAATTGTCCAATGGTAACGGTCATTCTATATTTACACTTTTACGTTACATCATTTAATACACGCAGGAAAGATTTACTGTTTCACATGTACACATTTGTTTATTGATTTAAATGATATAATATTATTTTTTCCTGCATACTTTCAATTTTCTGGTACGGGTATATCATTCTTTAGTCATTTTTATCTCATATTTTTCATGGGTTAATCGTTATCACTTTCTATGAGTTGATGTTTTCCAGTGTTGAATTTTTCGTTTTTATTCATTTTCTTTGTAAACACTAATGAAACTGTAACAGTTCTTGTTATTGAATGGTACTTTGGGATGGGAGAAGGATAGCGGGAAGAGTCATTTCCGAGAAAGATCAAAGGAAATAGCAATTAGAGCAAAGATTGAGGAAGTAAAAATCATTTTGATGTTATTTTAAACATTAAAAAGTAAATTGCGATTGATATTTTTGTTTTAACGTTTTTTAAACATTAAATTTATTTTCCCCGGTAATTCTGATGAATTTGAATTTGTAATTTATAGTTCAAATAATCTCTCAATCTCTCAGTGTATTTCATTTTTCCGAGTAAGTTTTGTTCACCAGCTATAAAAGAGATAAATTGTACTTTATTCTTCGTTTATTTTTTTTCCTTCATAAGCATTAGTATTTTTACGTTTTGAAAAAAAAAAAGTTTATTTCACAATATAATTTGAAAATGGAAGAATCTCTGATGATACAGTAATGGTAAAAGTCTACGTTTGCGGGAAGGAGACACTGTGGAAGAAACATCAAGAATGCAGTGATGCGCTAGTCTTAAAAATAGTGTATTGTGAGCTTGAAATATGCTTCATTTGCATGATTGAAATCATTGATAGAATGAGATTTTTTTTAATGGAATGATGAAGTCAGAAGTATTGATAAAAAAGTGGTTGGGAATGGCGAGATGTTACGTGAATATCAGTGGGGTACGGTATTATCAAGTCGAAGGTGATCGCCTTCGTTCCTGATAAAATTGTTTTTGTTTTTGATATTAGGTTGAGAAACTTGTGTTACTTATGGTATGTCAGGACTGTAGGGTGAAAAGATTTGATGAAGTGTATAGGTGGATGATTCAAATTTTTGACATTGATCATATTAGCTAGAGATTCTCAGATTATTATGATATAGCTTAGCACATCAGTGAAAAAACATCATTTGTACATATATAATTTCCTTCATTTAACATTCTATAGGTCGTTGAGTAAATGCACAGGTTGAATACTTTTGAAATGTATGTGCGTTATCACTTTTTGTGCAATAACATTCTTTTCTTTAATTTCATGAACGTTTCGAATTTAAACATCAGGTTTAGCTTTTAGCCAAAAAGCGAAGCGAATGTTACGTTTATTGACATCAAAACGTCTAAAATAAAAGAACTTTGTGACACATAAAATGATACCACACATTAAAAATACACAATAACATTTTACATTATTGCTTCACTGATATGTTAATATTATTTATTGCAAGACTGCTACATCATTGTTGTTAGTCATAATAGAATAAAATATAATTTCATATATTAGGATGCAGTTGCAATGGCACATGGGAAAAATCCGAAATTAATGGAAAAGTTGAGTTGGGTATCTAACAACAGAAGTTTAGATGAATTCAAATTTGAATTTAGTATTTGAGTTTGGATTTGAGTTTGGAGTCTAAAAACAAACAGACTTTTAAACTTTTCGACAATTAATTTAATGGTGTGAGTCAAAATCGTGTAAAAATTAGGGGATAATAAATTTATGAAATTATTTCGTTGTTTCAGATTTCGAGGTCCTTGAGTTATTATTGGCCTTTTCAGGTTATACATATGTGTCATCATTTCAGGTATTTCTAAATTTAGTGGTAAGTCATTTAATTTATTGTTACACTAATTTGCCTTGCATGTTAATTAAGTTTCTTTATACATTTTTTAGTTGAATACACGCCGCACAACGGGTATAACTATGGATGAATTGATGGAAACAACATCAGACGATCCGCTGGCAATGTTACATCCATCGGGGAAGTATGTTGTGCCAATTATGCACTGGAAAGCACGCCAGAAAAAGCCCGAAGTTGCTAAACCGGAACCCGAAATACGGTATGTTTCCATATTTCAATCTAAATTCAATTTCATAGTAAATCACTCTATGTGAGCGTTACTGAGATAAAATCCAACTCTTCCAATTTTTTTTGGATTCTGGAAATATATTATTCTCCTCCATTAATTATTGTTTGATAAGAGGGAATAAAATTCTAGAATTGAAGGTTCTTATTTCAACTTCAGTGTTGATTACGTACTTAATCTTTTTTTTTGTATCCGTATTGATAAGATGCTTAATTACCAATTATTAATAAAAGATGAATGCTTTATAAATCAGTTAATCATTCAGCTCACTATGATTGACTAACTTCATAGAATTAGAAATTTAGTTCTATTTGTTTCGTCCCACCTTATTTTTGTCTCCCTTAATTTGTCTGATAAAGAAAATTTTCCATTCTCATTCTCAAAAATGACTCGGATAATAGGCTTTTTTTGATATAAAATCTGAAAATCGAATACCTTGTGTAATTAGACTAAACTAAATATGGATTATCCACAATCTTTGGACATTCTTTGATTAATTTCGCAGAATTACAAAAATTGCAGAGAAATACCACCGGAACTAAAATGTCCCATATGTTTACAACTTTTGCGTGATGCTGTCTTAACAACTTGCTGCGGTGATAGCTTTTGTGCTGATTGCTTACAGCAACGTTTACTTGAAACTCCGAACGCAAAATGTCCTGGAACAAACTGCTTTCAAACTGCTGTGTCTGCTGACAAATTGGTTCCAAATTTAAAGGTTTAAATCAAATTGAATTGAATTTCAAATTTGTGTTGTATTCAGTTTTGCTTTATAATTTGAAGTATTATTATTACTACACCGTTATTAATTCGAGCTGAATATCGTCCCAAATTTTCAGATGCGACAAGCTGTTGAAGCTTTCAAACATGGCGCTGTCCATAGCACAGCATTTGAGAGCACAAGTAAGTAGTATTTTCGAGAATAACACAATTTTAAGTTTTTTTTAAGATTTATTGGGAAAATAAATTTAGATAATTCGCCGCGTACTGACGAACAACCAGTTCAGTCGGTTTCACGTGTGCGTATTGGCTTGAGCGGTCGTCCGCAGCAAGTTCAACCTGCACTTATAATTCAGCAGCAGCAGCAAAAACAACAACAACAACAACAACAACAGCAGCAAGAAGCAGTGGTTACCTCACCACAATCACAGGTTTATTTATGCAGTATTTTGTAAAATTAAGATTTTTCGAATGGTAAAAGAAAGTATTTCAAATAGGTTCTTCAATTCCTAATAAAGTATAATAACATTCAAAGAATTATTGTAAGTTGAGTGGTTATTGTTTTCCCTACATCATTTCGAATTTTGATTTGAAATCCACTATAGCGTTATTGTTACTCCACCATCATCTTTTAGAATATTGTGGTGCACTAATTGCTTGAATTGTGTTCTGTATCAATATGTTTTGAATATGGCGTCTGTAGTAGATAAGTACCAATTTGCTTTGCGAGAAACTCGGAATTAAAGCTGATCTTATCAAAACATTGCGCAATAGAAGTACTATGATGCTATAACTTAGAAATGAAGTAGATGTGTTGGAAATCAAATTATACAATGGTGTATTTCATTTTGCAGATCCAAACTTCATCACCAACATACGTCATTCAACCCAGTACAAATATCGCGATCCCAGCTTCCCTGCAATCTCAGATGGCCGTAAAACAATTTCCTGGGAATACCATGCTGCCATCACCAGGAATAGCATCTGCACAAAATCAGCCAAAAGTTATTGCGCCTACTGTTATAGTCCCAAATGTACAGCAGTTAACTGTCGCTCCACCACCTCTTTCGTTACCGGTAAATGTTCATCAACCACCTCCAGGTTATCCAACTATATTTCCACCAGGTCAGCCAGCACATGTTGCTACTACTTCATCAACAGAATCTCTCCCATCAGGAACACATACTGTCAGGTACTGTTGTGTATTTTTTGAATCCAGAACCTGGATTTGTACTAAATTTTTTAGAATATTAAGAAAATTTTTTTTAGAAATATAACTGCCGCGCATTTAACTGCACCTCCATTATTGCTTCCACCAAGCGTACAACCACCACCACCAGGTATGTGTTCATCAGCAATTGTCTCTTTCATTTAGACGATAAATTTGAATGGCATTTCGTTTTTAAACATTTCGGGTTTTCAGGATTGTCAGCAGTTATTTATCCACGTATTCCAGCTCCACCACCTATCAAAGATGCTTGGGATGAATATCTGGAACGGAAAGATAAAGTATTGTCTTGTTCATTTTCATTTCTTGTAAAAAATTTCACTTGTAAAAAACGCCAACTTTCTTCTAAACTCTATATGGTTTTCTTTCATGAAATTGTTTTCGAAGTTTTTGCAGGAAAGCCGCCAGAGAGCGGCTGCTCCAACTTCACGTCGACGCCGTCGCTCTACGCGTAGTACCTCATATTCAAGTAGTAGCACATCTTCCGAATCATCAAGTGAATCATCACGGTCTCGGTCGAGATCGTCCTCTCGGGATCGAAATAGATCACATCGCGATAAAAGACGTAACGATGGTCGCGAAAAGCATTCTTCAAGAAGAAGAGAGTAAGTTTTTTTTCAAAAACTCTTTCAAATTTTTTATCTTATTTTCGAGATGTTCCCAACAAATTTAAAATTTAAATTACTAAGAAACTTGTATCTATTTTGTCGATGAATTCGAGGAAGTATTGTCAAGTATTAATTATTCCAGCTCACGGTCACCTTTTCGCAGTTCATATGCGAGTACACGTTACCATCGTGATAATCTAGCGTCATCTTTTAATCTTTATCAGCATACATCAAGTGCTGCTGCCATTGGTTTACCAGGAGCATCTCTTATTCATCATCGTATTCCATCTCTTTTAAATAATTACTGCTCATCACAGTATACATCAAATCAAACAAGCCAGACAACGAGTTATAATTCCTTTAGTAATGGTGCAGTTCCGAGTTATCGATCATCGAGAATATATCTGGATGAACGGAATAGAAGACATTCACCGAGGTACAGTTATATCTTGAGATTTCCCGAATATTTTTCTATTTTTTATATTTACCGTTTATACTAGTAAATATTTTAAAATTGTATGCGAAAGAAAAATACGCTTCTTCAGATCATTACAAAATTGGCGAAGGAATGAGAGTAAAGAACGACAAAACGACCGGAAAGAAAGAACCGAGGAACGAAGACGTGGAAGAGATGGTGATGAAAGGACACGTCGAGAAGATCGTGAGCGGAAACCAAAGGAAGACAGTGACAGAGAAGAAAGACGACAAAAGGTTCGCAGTGAAGCATTTCTGAATATTCCATTGAAGCATTTCTGAATATTAATTTTACTAAAGTATGAATTCTCAGTTCTCTATGCATTTGTTTTTTTTTCAGAAAGATAAATACAAGCGACGTCAGGAAAAAGAGTCGAAAGAGGTAGAAAATGCAACGGAGGGAGGACAGGGAAGTACATTAAAAATAGAAGAGAAAGATGCAGGTGCCGTTGATTTAATAAAAATAGATGTGGATGGAGAAGCTAAAAATGAAACTACTCCACAGATCGAAAATAGAGGAGCTGAAAATAATGTCGGAGATATTGAAAATAACGTGGAAAAGGAAAACGATACAGTGGATGAAGCTTTGCCGGATGAAACAGCAGCCGAGAGTGGAATGTCCGGTTTCCAGATTAACCATGATGATGGTTCCGGAGCAGAAGCTGAAAATGAAAACGAAGGATTGGATGACGAAAAAAGAACCGACAATATTACGACCGAAGTGATAGCAGAAGACAAGGGTAGAAGTGGGAAGAAAAAACACAGAAAGAAGAAAAGGAAACATCGAAGGCATGACGGAGATGGACCGGAAGATGAAGGAATTGGACGTAAGAAGCATAAAAGACATAAGCGCAGTAAAGAAGAAAAAGAACAACGAAAGCAAGAAAAGGAAAAACGACGTGAAGAGCGTCGAAGGCGACGACAAGAAAGAGAAACCGGACAAGTGAACGCTGCTGAAAATGTAGAAAATAAAGGAAGCGAGCATGAAATGAATAGCGTTGTTACTGGAATGGTTAATAAAGAACACGAAAATGGAATGACCGCTGACGTTAAAGTGCATGAAGTGAAAAAGGCTGCTGTGTTGAAATCAGTGGAATTGACGAATTCCGGAATGCCAGCGCAGAAATCTGAAGAGAAGGCGATGAAGGGAAGTAAACCGAGAGAAGCCCAGGAAGGCTCTGAAAACGGGAAAAAAAGTGATGGAAAAGAGGGACGAAATAGTGATAGTTCTAGTCTTTCGAAAAATAATGAACGAAAGAATGCGAAAGAATGTTATAAACATGAAAAAGATAGGAGACACAAACACTATTTAAGCCGTAAACGAGATGAATCGAAAGATGATTCACGAATTACTAGGAAAAGGAATGATGAAAAGGAAACCAGAAGGAATGAAGATAAAGATTCAAAAAAAGAAAGTGATAAATTTAGAAAAAATGACAGGAACGATGAAAAGATTGAAAGCAGAAGGTAGGAAGTTGATGACATTTTTTGATTTTACACGTATTTTAATTGATTTTGTCTAGGCTTTGTTTTTACTGAAGTGTAATGATTTTTTATTATTTCTCCGAATTTGTTTTGATAATTTAAGGTGGGACAATAAGGAAGAAAAGACAAAAGTCGGTGAAAGAGAACCCAGGCGATGTGAAAATACTGAGAAAGTTGAACTAGAATTCAAGAAAGAATCGAGACATAAGCAGCATGGTGATAAACGTAAAAGTGAAGTAAATGTTTGTTATTTGCGGTTATTATCGTTGCGAGTTTCGTTTTTTTATTTTTCAACTAAACTTAAGGATTGTGATTCCAAATATAAAAGTTTCATTTTACTTGTGATTCCAAATATAAAAGTTTCATTTTACGTTTCAGACTAGTCGTTCTGACCGCAAGCGACCACGTTTAAGAAGAAGCCATGGTAGTCGTAATGAACAACGTAATGGTTTAAATATAGCGGATCAAAGATTCTTGCCGGAAACATCTGATGTGAGGAGAGCTGTTGAAGTCAGTGAAGTTGATTCAGTAGTGCGAAATGAAACTGACCCGTTGTTGTTGAGTCAGAAAAAATTAGGCTTGAATTCACGGACAACATCGAAAGCTATGAATTCTGTTGATGGGACTGAAATTCATGAAACATCCGATCAAAAACGATTGGATGAAATTAAAGTTTCAATCGAAAAAGAACTGGAACTAAAAGTTGAAGCAGCACCAGTTTCCAGCAATTATAATATGCCAAATTTGACCGTGGAATTGAAATCGGGGGGTGAGGTCAGTTTTTATTCAATATAGGTGATCTGTAATAAATCAGATACGGCGATAGTATTTTGAACTACCACTTGGGTGAGAATAGGAGAGTACAGACGAGGAAGACAAAAACGAAAGAGAAGAAGGGAGGGAAGGTTGTGTTCATTGTCTGTGAAATTTTGGAAATTTTTCTTGAACTAATTGAAAATAGTTCTTGACTAAACACATCTATTAACTGTTCGAGAAATAAAGAACTATAGGTTAACTGACATCGGTTAGAACTAAATTAAAATCAATTATACTTTTTTCAGAAACGAGTGACACGGGAAAACATTTTTGAGGGCGCGACACCGCATTTCAACGCACGCCAAAAGATAAAAATGGTTCTACTATCGGAAAGTGAGCGTAAAGCTGCCGATCGATCATCCAAAAAAAGATCGGGAGTGAAATGACCTAGAGATTTGTATGTAGAAAAGGAAGAAGCTCTATAGATATTTAAGTAGGCGGGCGATCTTTTTTAAAGTCCAGCATTCTTCATATTAGGACAGCTTTCATAACTGAAGCAAATTAAACCCAGTACGTAAAAGGTTTTAACTCTCAGTTCATTCTTATGTGAACTATATTTTTGTATATAAATATTCTGTTTTTATGCAAAAACGTTTTAGTTATACATCTCTAAATCTCTTAATTTCTAAATCTTCTTAAATTTCGACAAAACTTATCATTGTTTTTTTGCTGTACAAATCCTGGAATGGTCAAATAATTCCACATTCTTCAGTGATAAAATCCAATCCCAATCTACCTTTTACTCATTCAGTATCCAACGTGTTTATTGCGGGAAGTTTTTTATTGCTTTTTCGAGTTCATATTTCTAGAAATGCATATTTTTTCTTGTTTGCCTTTAAATATCCATAATCTCGAAAATTCTGTATGGTACCATCCTTTATATATTACCTAGTATATAATTGGCGTTATTACTTCTAAGCAAATATATATTTTTCAATGGTAGCTGTTGTTTTTGTTGTTGTACTTGGGATAAAAATAACTTTATCGTCCAATAATTCTGCGTGGAAAAACAATCGTTTTCACAAGCAATGAGGAAAAATGACCGTCAATTAGCTCTCAAGAAATTTTAAAGATTTACAAAACTCATTATTTTTTAAAAAAGTCTGGAAGCATAAAATATGTACTAAAAATAAATACCAGTCAATCATAGGAAATCAACTAAGAATCCAGAACCCCTCGAAATGAGTGCTACAAAAATTATGATCTGACTGTAACCTTTATAGCTTTATATCTACAAACAATGGCGTTGTAAGAACGTTTATAAATCGGCGAATATCTCTGAACATGCCAAGTATTACAAAAATACAAGTTAAGTCTACAGCAAATTAAACGGTAGAACGATAAAACAGAATGAGAAGAAATTCTTTAGGAACATGGCTTGGTGTACAGCAAAGCAGTAAAAAACCACGTGCCTTGCAGTATTCCCATTCTCGCAGAGTAGGTCAAAAATGAAAAGATTAAAACGAAAGATTTGTTACAAAACCAAAGTTCTCACAAGATATAATCCGTTGACAAAATTCCGTACGGCTTTAAACTTCTGACAATTTCGCTCATCTCCACGTCAGGATCGTAGGCAATCTCCGTCTCTCCGTCCAGATTTTCAATTAAGTGTACTTTATCTGATGAGTAAACCATGATCTCTCCATCCGCATTACATGGCATATAGCACCTAAAATGAACTTTGAAGATTTTTCAACTTTTTAAATTCTTCATAAGAAATTTAATCCCTACAGTAGAAATTTTATAATATATACTACTGAAAATTTACATCGTGATATCAGTTTATCTCTTATCCCTAACATTTTCTACGGCAGTAAGCATCGCTAAGATGTTCTCATTATTTCGCCCAAGAATGTGGGTAAGACTACTCAGATCTGTTAAGAAGTCATAATTTTGTTGCAAAAATTTCATAATATGTATTGTGCCTTCTTCTACAGTGCTTTGTTGATAGCTGAAATCTCCCAAAAATAATATATTATATCGCTCCTAAATATTTTCAAAAACCTTTATCTATAACGGAAAGCAAATTTTGACTTAGTGGAATTATTTATACAAATATTAAAATTCCATAGAATTTAAGAAATGCAAAAAATGACTAAGAAAGACAGAAAATGCAAAGAAAGCAAGAAACAAGGAAAAAACATAGAAATGAATCGAACATATGAAAATGCATGAACTAATAATAAAACAGAAGGTAAAATTGACTGCACTTACCAACTATTACATTCTTCGTCCAATTCCAATGTAGAACCCCTCGTTGGCTTAACACGTTTGAAATTTGCACTGGAACGAATTTCGTCAATTAAATTCTGTGAAATTCGCCGTCTTTCTTCTTTTGTAGTATAATCAACCAGGTCGAGTAACGACTTGTTATGAACATATTCGTGAACCAGTGATGTATTCTCATTTACACATTGTCCAACAGTTTCCATGGCTTCTTGAGGTTCTTCCGTTCCATCGTTTTGCGTTCGAACTTTCTTCATTGATGATTCTTCGCCAGGAACTGTTGGTAAGAGATGAAGTTCTTCAGCTTCTTCTTCATTTTCAGTAGTTCTGTGTAAGCATTTCTGTTCCATTTCAATATTTTCTTTCCAACCACGTAAATCACTTTTTACGTTCTCTTCCTTTGCACTAACAGTCCAGTTACTATCAAGTTCAACATCCTCAGCTGCAGCCTCCAGTTCTTCGACAGGTACGGGTTCATAGCCTTCAGGTATTTCTTCACTTTCAAACACAACGTACTGACCGTCAGCATCTTCACCATATGTATACAATACAGGACCATTCACCTCGTCCGGATGACGTTGTCCACGACGAAGTGAGCCATCTGCTGACAAACTTTTCGCCCGATCGATTCTACCTAAACGATTCTGTCGAAAATATGATTTGCGTACGCGGCTCCATGATGGATAAATTTTCGGCAATTTGTTACTTGAAGATCCCTCCGTAGACGCAAGATCAATTGCTCGATAAAAACCCTGAAAATAACCCCTTTTTACGAATTTTTTTATAATCATAATTATACTCTACTCGTTAGGAATAATTTCGTCATGTAATGAGTAAATTTTGTTAGGAATGATGCTATTATGTATAGCACCAAAATCGATTTTCATAAAAGTTAACCATATAATATAAAACTAGATATTTGAATAACATAGTTTTTTAAAAAAGAAATACAGAAATGGTAAGCAATCACATGCTCTGAATAAAAATAATAGACACCTCAGCATATGCTGCTTTCGGTGTTTTAAGACCGATACGTATGTCTTTCCGATTTGCACGATCCAAACTGGTTGTCGTTGCTTCGATTCGTTTGGTTGGTTTACAGTCCGGATGATGTCGATGATGTTTGGTACCCACAATACGACCATTTTCCATAATCAGATATGCTTGTGGTGCACTTTTGTCATTTCGACGAAATTTGAGGCATTGATTGCATCGATAATAGCGCTTTCTGCCATCTCCCGCAACTCGAACCAGAGCATATTGTCGGACATTTTCATCGTCAATCGGAACTGTGACGATTGTTTCATTTAAATTTCTTGATAAAGAGTAACTGTACGTATATGCTTCTTCATCATCAAGTCTGAAATATCATATATTTTAGTATTTACTGTTTTGACTTATGTTTAAATTTTCTATTACTGTGTTTCGGAGAGATCTATGGCGCAAGTTAACCATCGAACGATTAATTCACCTAATTGATTAAGAAGCACTGTAGAAAAAGAAAACACAACGAGATGAGTTTGTGAAATTATCAAATTTCTTTATTAAAAAATATCATACTCGTCTGCTCCAGATCGTCGTTGATGATAACCTCGTTTACGACGTACTTTAACATTAACCTGGAAAGATATATCAGTATGTATAAAAAATGCATTGTAATCTCTTTTTTTGTTACTGGCAACTAAGTAACAAAACAGTATACCTTGCCCTTCAGTCGCCTGGCGAGGGTCGATTTTGAAATAATCAAACCAGCTTCATCTTTCAATAGCTGACTTAAATCAATCAGTGATGTTATTTTTCCCTCCAAATAATCTTCTATTAATCGAACGGCCACACTATCTTCTCCGAATTCTTCATCCAAAGCTTTCTCTTTTTCTTGATTAGTATCATCTGCAAAAAAATGATAGTTAAATATTTAAGCTTCATTTACAGTTGTGTAAATTATACTCAAGATGAGCATTTTAAATAAATTCGAGCATGTTAATGCAACAGTTGACCTTTAGTTTCATTATGAATTCAAATCTAAAAAACTGACTGCAAAAGTTCCGAATGACTTTTCGAAATTTGAGACAACTAAATTCTGAAATTTGTTCAATAATAAGTGCATATTCAAGGAAATTTTATTTATAATTAAAAAGTAGACTTCCACTCGATGACATTCTGCAGCACTGTTTCCTTCACTTTAAACACCACGAAAGCTCGTTTATTTGTAATCTGAAAAAGATGATCTCGTAAAATATAATTCTTGTCATTAGTAATCAAAATATCCCGGTATCGTTGATATGATAAAATGAATATTTGTATGAGTGGAAAAAAGGAAACAGAGAGGAGTGGATCATCTAGCGTGTAGATGAAAATAAAGATAAAAGATAACATTTCGAATTGAAAGTAACACATACCATTCTTACAGTCTGATGCAATGTGGCAATGACGGTGTTTCCAGCTCTGAACTCAGCTAAGGTATTTTTGCGCTCCTCTCACGCCTGGAGGGAAACCCCAATTGCAAAGAGGGAATGCTCGCAAATAAAATTTGTTCTATATGAAAACCTCGACATCCCGATAATCACAGAAAAAAGGGAGAGGAACCACTGCGCAACGGGTATATCGCATTATCCACAGTGATCATGAATGCTAATCAATAAATTCCCAAGCAATCAGAACGCTCTAACTCTTTATTTCAGATCAATCAATTTCAAGTTTAATTCCAAACCATTCAATCTCTCATTTCGTTTTTAACAGTTTCTTTCACTAGTATCTTCTCTTGTTACTAATAATGGATCCTGTCTCCTCCGCTGATTTCGTGTGATAGCTTTTTTTTAAATAATTTTTCATTAGGGCAATAAATTTACATACATGCCCAAATTAACGTATAGAGAAATAATATCTTAAACTGCACGAATCTATGATAATTTTGCTTATTTTTGGTATCCAAAATGCTTCGACATTGAAGTAATGAATCAATTACTCTATTCACATCTCTAAGTATTCTTTTCCGTTTACATACAGTGATACCAATTCAAACTTCTCCATTAAAGATGTTGCTGGAAACTACTGTAAGCCTATGAGTGATAGCGATGGCTCTGCCAACGACGATCACTATTCAGCCAAGCTTCACATAAATATCACACACATATACTCAATTAGCCCGATCAGCAACAGTTTTGCATATCTGCCTATAATTCATTAGGGACACAAAAAGTCTCTTATCGAAGCTCTGCGAGAATATTACGTGTTCTACACTTTCTGTAATGCTTCTATATTACTCACGGGAATTTTGTAAAGGATTCATATGCATGTCTCACGTGGATTCCTGGAATAAATATGACCGTTGTATATGAGTTCCCAGGCTGAATACACGTCAATAACTACGTAACTGTGTGAAAAGCCAACTTTATTCTCATACTTCCAAAATGTTTAATGTTAGATTTCAAGCAGTATCCTGGTTGTGCTGACATAAATCAGGTTACCTTCCCTGCAATGCTTATATTTATGATATTACACGTAAGACACGCAACGATCCTTCCTCTTTTCGCTATGGTACCAAATCGACCTAATTTCACATCGCGTCATTTATGAAATTCGCTACGAATCAAACACGCACAAGCAAACGGAAGAAATGGAAGAGGCCAAACAACCAATGAAAATTCCTCGTCTCTCTATCTGTCATGAGAGTGGGAGGGGGAAAAGAACAAAGAGAGAAGAAAGAATAAAGCATGGCGCAGAGAACGAGAGAAAACGAAAGTGCAAGAAAAGCAAGGAGAAGTGCGAGAAAAATCAAAGAAAAGAAAAAGGTACACGCAATAATCGATAAGAAGAGGAATCACGGGAAGCTAAAGAGACTGTATGAAAGCTAGACGTCGAGACGAATGAGAGTTCAGCCGTTGCTTTGGCTACTGTCGCACTTGCGGCATTTCGCTACGGATAGGCGGAGTTTGAGGGACAGACGTGCGTTTCTTCTCTTCTTTGTCTTCGTCGTTGTTCACGTCTTGTTTTTTTGCTGGTTTAGTTTACATGCAAGTAATCGTATGACACTTACGTGTGTTTGTGTAGGTGCAGATGACGTTATAGAGGTTTTTTTTGAGAAACGCAGACTTTGGATACAATGATTAGAATTATATTCTTTCTCCCTCCTTTGTAATGATGTACAATTTCATCGGCATAAATACTTGAATTGCACATCGCTGCTCATTTGCATTACCTTCAATTGTGCATTACGCTAGAAATATGCAAATTTACCATTTGGTACAGACCATACCGATTTTACGCTAGCACATCCAAGCGTAAAATTTGCTTAAAAATTCATGTAGTTACTTTTCGCTCTGCTAGCTATTATCGTGAAATTAAATCTGTCACTAGCTTGCTGATATCTGCGTGTTTTGATTTCATTCTTTTTTCGAGATCTGATAGCTTTTTATTCTACATACTCGAATATTTAGGGTGCGAAGAAGAGTGTTTTTTATGCAGTAATGTATTTGCATTTATATATTTATTAATCCTTAGCGTTAATTCATCAGTTCAGTAATTTATTTAATTTGCATTCCACTTATTAAACCAATTATTTAATTTGTTTGCTTGTTCATTTACATTGTGCATAATAGCAGTTAGTTTCCTAAAATTCAATGCATTTCGCTGGAATCGTATAATTGGACTAATTGCCAACTGACGTTAATTTGCGGTGCTTAACGTCGATTATATATTGCATTTTAAAGGAATTTGTTATTTGCGAAGTACTTTCTTCCATGTCACAATATGAATATATTGGATTACTTTACTTTGACTTTCAGCTCAGTTCATTTGACTCTTTCCACTTAGTCCCTTATTTCACCGAGTTTCTTAATGTCGTAATTTTATAAAATCCAAATATTGGGTTTCGTAATTCCGCTATTAATCGATACTGTATCATATTTTTCAAAATGCATAATTTTTGCTTTTGGATCGCATAAAATGTTCCGAGAAACTCACGTACTTTCTACTACGTATGTTGGAAAACATTTTATTAAGTGTACGGGTTAAAGTTACTTTGCAGATCGATAAACTGTTCTACGAATTTTGGTAATGCGAAGTGCCTTACGCCGTTATGAATTACTTCTTCCGTTCAATGCTTCAAAAGCAACTTCAGTTATCAAATCGACAGATGAAAATTGTTTGTGTTAGTTTTACGTGTGTTTTTCTAAAAAATAAATACTAATAGTTTCACCAAAAAAGCCAAATCGACGTTTTTAGCTGCACGCGTAGCTATTGAGAATCATCTGACGTTTTTACTTGACTTATTAAGTTTTTTAAAATTTACAGCGCAATTTTTTATTTGCATCAAAAAGGAATCCAAAAACGACAAGGAGTGCGCTTTGGAAACGCATAAAAATACAGATTCGGAACTGCTTCCATCCTGGTGCAAACAGTCTAGCGCCGATGACGGTGAGTTCCTATAGTTTCAAATGATATGAAAATAAAAGAAAAGAGTTAATCTGTTGAAAAATTCTAATTTAATTTATAGAATTATTCATTTCTGTGATTATACGATTGTCAGAAATCTACAGATTTACTGTTATTATCTTAGACCTGTAAAAAGTTTACTGTAATGTTAGGATCGGAATATATTACCGATTTACCGAAATTATTTGTCGATTTACCGAAAGTATTTACCAATTTGTGCAGTTTTCCCTCGGCAAGCAAATACCGACAGTGGAATTGGTGAAGGCAATGTTACAATCTGTTTGGCCAAAAGGGAATTGGAAAATCCGACGACTTTATATTTATTCCATGGCGCTTCTTGTTGTGGCTAAAGTAAGCTGAAGTACTTAGCTACTTTTTATCTCTTCATTTTATGAAATCGATCAGCTTCCGAATTAAGGATTTTTTACTTCCTGTTCATTAGTATTTCAATCAATAATATTCATTCACTGCTATAGGTGCTGAACGTTTATGTACCATTTCTGCTGAAGAATATAATTAACTATTACAATGAATTGGTACCAGCCGATCTTCAGCTGTCAGCTAATAGTTATAGCAGCATGTTTGGAATTGCGACATTCTCAATTATTATAACTTGTATGTTTTATGTGTTATGTTCTTGATAATAGCTGAAAATTTTTCAAAAAATTTTGAAGAGCAAAGAAATTGTTTAAATTTGATGAAATGCAAATTTTTGAGTCTGTGAATAATCAGATTTACATATGTATTGGGATAATTTTTTTTGCGTGGGTGAAATTAATTTACTGTGATCTATGTACATTACAGATGGTGCTGCACGTAGTGGTTCTGCATTATTTAATGAGCTTCGGAACGCAGTATTCGCACGCGTTGCACAGTATAGTATTCGTAGCATTGCGCGGCAAATTTTCCTTCACTTGCATTCTTTGGATTTATCATTTCATCTAAGCCGTCAAACAGGCGGTATGTCGAAAGCAATAGACCGAGGCACTCGGGGAATGGCATTCGTACAAAGTGCGCTGGTTTTTAATGTGGTACCCACGGTGATTGAAGTTAGCATGGTTTCAGGATTGTTGGTAAGACACTTCGAGAAAATTAAAAAAATACCTTCTTGAGTTGACATTACGCCTCTAATGTTTGCAGCTTTTTTTCCAGTATGTCAACTGTGGCCCATCGTTTACATTTGCAACATTAGGTTGTCTTTCAACTTATATTATTGCGACGCTAGGAATCACCAAATGGAGGACCAAATTCCGGCATCAAATGAACCAAGCTGATAATGATGCGAGCAATCGTGCTATTGACTCATTAATCAATTATGAAACTGTCAAGGTGAATTTTATAGAAAATTTTTTAGTGAAAAACTATAAAATGCTTGATTTTTAATTATTAATAAAACCGAAGAAGTCTATCATTTCAGTATTTCAATAATGAAAGTTTTGAAGCGGATCGGTATGATTTTTCTCTGAAGAAATATGAAATAGCAGCGCTGAAGACAAGCACATCGTTGGCACTTTTGAATTTTGCACAAAATGCAATATTTAGCGGTGGTCTTGTGGCTGTCATGTGTTTAGCAGCAGCAGAAATTGAAAAAGGTACTGCTATTTTGAAAAATTCTATGCCAACATTGCTAATCAGTGATGCTTGTCATATCTAGGTGGTTTATTCGGTAAACTAATAATGATCATATATAATGTATTTTTATGCATCAAAATTTAAAATTGATAGTACAACGGTAATAAGCAACTTCATAATACTGTATACATTTTTATTGTGTTAAGAAGTGAACTCCCTCCGAATTTAAATAGGGAAAGTTCAATTTTACGTTGTGTGTTCATCGTTGATAATTTAATTTTCACGTTGTATCCATCGACGAGAGTTGGTACATTTATAGTAGTTTTAAATAGTTTCATTCTTTTTTGTACTGTTTTTAAAATTTTTAAATCAATGGAGGAAATTTTAGGTACAATGAATGTTGGCGATCTTGTCCTTGCTAATACGTTATTGTTCCAATTGTCGGTGCCATTAAATTTTCTTGGTTCAGTGTATCGGGAAATAAAGCAAGGTTTAGTTGATATGCAACTGATGTTTTCATTACTGTATTTGAGGAGCAGTATAACTGTAAGTTCCTTCGAAAATACATATTGTAATTTCTTTTAAGATGCACATTACTGATTTCTTTCGTACAAAATTGGACGAACAAATTAGGTTTTTGTTCCGCTCCAACAATCTTTGTTTACGTCTACTTATGAGACATACAAATTTTAGAATTTCGAACATGACTACAACTGTTTGAATTTTGAATTAATGGAATGTTACATTTAAGGAGAAACCAAACGCTCCATGTTTGAAGGTTGATATGGGAAATTCGTCCATATCGTTTAGAAATGTTACATTCGGCTATTTTCCGGGACAGCACATATTGAAAGGCTTAAATTTGGATATTCCTTCTGGTAAAAAGGTATGATTTACTTTACTTGACTAAGTTTTTTTATATTCATATGTATATAGGGGATATGAAACCAGTATATTATTGGTAATCTTCCTCACTGTTGGTATCTGTTTTCTTTTGTACAGGTAGCTATAGTAGGTGGCAGCGGATGCGGTAAATCAACGATTGTTCGACTTTTATATCGCTTATTTGATCCGGAGGATGGCGAAATATATATCAACGGTCAAAAAATTTGCGATGTTCAACTTGAAAGTTTGAGAAAGATGATTTCTGTTGTACCTCAGGTCAAATTTTGTTCTTTTTAATCAGCAACAATAAAAACCGATTCACTTGCATGTTTATGGAAGAAAGTAAACTAAATCCTTGTTTTTCTTTGGAAGACAAATTAATTTTAAAAATTTCAGGATTCAGTCCTTTTTCATGATACTATATATTATAACATACAGTATGGAAATCCATCTGCGACTGAAGATGAGGTAACTTGCCTTTTTCTTCTGTCCTTGAAACGATACATCATTAGTTTAAATGTGAGTTTTACCTTTTAATAACTTCAGGTTTTCTATGTGTCCAGATTAGCAAATTTACATGATTCGGTGATACGATTCAAAAATGGCTACGATACAGTTGTTGGCGAAAGAGGTTTGAAATTAAGTGGAGGGGAAAAGCAGCGCGTTGCAATTGCTCGAGCATTACTCAAAAATGCTCCCATTATAGGTGATAATTTAAGTTTAATATTGTTTAGAAATTTCTGAGTTTTTTTGAAACTAATATGTCATATTTATTCCGCAACCTGTTGATATGGGTCTATCAAGTTTGATCCTGTCAAAAAGTACAATGGTAATAATGGGGCGCTTAAAGATTTAATTAGATTTTCATAAGCAAAATCATCGGAAGTTTGACTCCCATATCACTAGCTTGTTTTTTATCAAGATTTGCATTGCAATCAATTTTAATAGTACGCAAATTTTTTTTTTGCTTTCTTGCCATGAACGTGAATGTGTCCAACCTCGTAGAACAGTCTTTGCAAGTTTTTTTTTTTCGAAAAGGGGGAAAGGAGTTGTCGATTATTATCTGTTTTGGACTCATAGGTTAATCTTTTATTGTCTTATAAGTTTAATCATTTTCGATCATCTTTTTTATATGGCTAAAATTACAGTTTATGATGAAGCGACTTCATCGTTGGATGCTTTAACAGAAGAAAGTATTATGAGTTCTATGCGAAATGCCGTACAGCAACGCACTTCACTGTTCATTGCACATCGTTTAGCTACAATTATCGACGCTGATATCATCTATGTGCTGGAAAATGGAAAAGTAATCTTTTTTATTTTGTGAACTTATTTTTGATCTACAAAGCTAGTTTTTCAGACTTATGAAGTTGGAAAACCATAATAGCATTCTTTACATGCAAACTTTCCTAAGGTTGTACTTATTAAACTAAGCAAACGGCTTCATGGTTTGCTGTAAAGAAAAATTAACTGGGTGGAAATATCGAAGTTCAAAATAATGGCTAAGAAATTCAATTTCTAGTCATTTTATTTTAAAATGCAGTGTAATAGATTATTTGAACACTTCCGGATGAAAAAAGGTGATTTATTTTAGATGATTGAGAGTGGATCTCATTTCACACTGCTTGCGAAACCTGATAGCCGTTATTCCCATCTCTGGAAATCACAACATAAATATTCAGAAGTAGTACGCCCGAAACAGTCAACTTCTCCTGATCATAGGCCAGAACATTTGAATCTAGAATCTCTCGATAATCATCGTGACGATGGCTGCTGTAGGTCAGGTGGCAGTTGTAAACGTTGAAATATTAAGAAATCGCTAATTGCTACTTTTATTTTCCTTTTTTCAGTTCAATCGATGAATACTACCAATTTTTTAAAATTTTTTCGAAAAATATTTTTCGGGATTTGTAGTAAAATTTTAAAAGGTGGTGGAAATGTCAGCAACAGTTTTCATGGCTTTAGTTTCTATAATTTTTTTCCGGCTTAATTTTTAATTCATGATCGTATGTTCTATTTTAAATTGTTGAAAATAGGGAAGAAAAAAAGCAGGTTGTCGTCGTATAGTATCATATGAAGTATCAGGAAGCATATGACTGCTGTTCTACAGAAAGAGTGACATATTTAAATATGAAAGTAGCAGAGCCTGGATGGAAAGATTTTATCTAAGGCAAGGTCAATTAAACCATGTTAAGGATGGAAATTTTTTTTCGAATTCAAGAATTTTTCTCCAATCAAAATTTTTGTTCAGTTCAATGTAACGTTAAAATTTGCTCTTGATTTTTGTATTTTGTAAGCTTGTTCGGGTGAATTTCAACTTATTTTTTTATTTTATAATATTCCTACATAAAACTGTTTACTTCTTTATAGAGTCTATTAACCTCTCTCTGCTGGATATTTTTGTCCTTCCTCGACTGCTTTTCAAATATTCTTTGTTCAATTTCTTTAAAGTAGCTCTTATGCTTGAATCTCCAACTTCTCGCTTCTTAATATTTTTTTTATCCTGTACTTATTTTGCAAAAATATCAAGGAAGCTCGGGTAGTGAAATCCTTGCGCCCTTCAGGAAAAGTGGTGTGAAATATTGGTAATCGAACTTGTAATTTATTTTGCTATTACATTTTGCAGTAGTTATTGCTGACTGTAAATAAACGGGTTCTGTGTTTTGAGAAAATGCAAAGGTTTTGGTTAAATTGCTGATGTCGGTTTAGTGGAGAGTAGGGTTGAAAGATTTTTTCAGAAAAATCCAAAATTTTGAAATTTTTTTATTGAGAAGATCGGAATTGGAACATTTGAAAGAATTTTAACACTCATCTTCAATTGACTGCTTTAGTAATAGATTTATTTATTTTTGTCAGGTAAATGCCACGAATATGTGAGCGATTGTATGATCCGGTTATCACGAGGACACTGGTCACTTAGCACTTCTTTCGTCTGTCTCTTTGTTTTATAGTAAATGATTCACGTGCCTGTATTTAATATCACAAATTTTTTCACTTGTGGAAAAACTCGACCATTTTCATACTAAAATAATGAGCTTTTTTTCCCTTGTGAGAAAAAAGTTTTCACAATAAAATCTGGAATTTTCGTGGTGATGACGAGTTTCTGAAATCTTTTGCACCAAACCAGGAAGTCCAAAAAATTTATTTACTTAATGATACTTGAAATTATATGTTAACAAATGGAAGAATTTATTCAAGCAGTTTGGGATAACTTTCAATACTTTGGCTTTTGTGAAGTAAAAGTAGATCTCGGAAATTTTAGTTTAAATTAGTTTGAATTAGTAAATTAGAAAATCCTAGAGCAAAATGGTAAATATCTGTTTAAAAATAATTTGGTAATTTTTCCTTTACAAAATTCGATGTTTACGTATGAAGTATAATTTAGTGTCAAACATAATATGCAATCTATGCAATTTTCAACTTCCTGCGTCTTAGTTTTCCAATGTTTTCTGTTATTTTTTCCTCAAAATTAAGCATTTGATCTTGAAAATCTACAGACATTTGATAGTGCTTCCTCTTCAAGTATCATCATAATGGCATTTTGCTCCTCATGAAATTTCACATATTTTTTTATCAGTAAAATGTGCTGTTTCAACAGCTCCATCCATTTTTTCTTTTAAATTCATTGTACTGAACCATTTGATTAATATGTGTTCTGATGGATCTAAAACTTTATTATTGAAATTTATCGAGCCTATAAACAAATTTGCAATGGTATTTGTTTTATATTGTTGGTCGTTCAGGCGGAAATACTGCATTGTTTGTATTTAACGAAATTGATTGTTGCAGGTGAGATTCTATCCAGAGAAAACATGAATCGAATGTAGATAGCAGTTATCAAAAATACTGTTCATGTCAGAAACAATAAATGTTTTGTGAACTTAGAGTCTAAAAGACTATGGACGGTTAACTGATCATATCGGTAACGTATAGTAACTCGAATAGTAATGCGAGAGCATTGGCAATAATGTTGATAGGCCATGCTTTTGTCATATTTAATTCCCGCTGTGAAAAAGAAATTGCTTACAAAGATTTAGTGATTACAGGGTTTTTAGCTGAGAATATAAAATTTATTGACTGGCATCCGTAAAGATGGCCGGATGCTTGGATCAATTCAACTATAACTGTGATATTGACTGGGATTCGAAACGAAATGCTGTCGCATCATGTATTTCATCGGCTATGGCAAGAGATTTTCCTATTTGCTTTCTCATCTAGAATAAAAATAAGATTAACAGGACCGATGATAATTTATAATTTTAAGTTAGAATATCAAAAAGATTTATCCGAACAATGTGATTATTTGAAAATATTTTTTATTTATTTATAACCTTTATAAATAACCTGACTTCAGTCTTTTGTTTCAATATTATAAATATCTGTTCGAAGATTTACTTGAATCATATAGTTATTTAATCATTTGCTTGACTTCATCTTGATAAATAACACTTTTACTTGGGTTCCATCAGTGTTAAATTTTTTAGTTTTTCATTGGGTGGTGGCTCTTGATCGATACGGCAGCAATTTATACACCAGTTGGTCAATGGAACAATGTTTATATTATCGTTACTGTATGTGGAACTGTTGCGATGTTCATGTAAGTTTGGATTTTTATGAAAGCTTATTATATAAGAGATCATTAAGATATAGGTTTTTGGTCCCTTCATATGTTTTTTAGCTGTACTTTTAAATATCCACATTTCATATTCGTAATTTACAACGTAATTTATGTTATTTCCATTATAATACAATAAATCGTTCACTGTGGAAAAATGGTAATTTCTTAATTGTTATCGAGTTTTAGGGTGAATGCTGTTTCAAATAGCCAAGTTCGAGGGGAATCTATGAACGAAAATATTTTGGGTACCAAAGGTAGATTTTCAAACGCAGTTGTATTTGTTTTTTTTTTTCATATATTTTGCGAAAAATAGCAGCTGGTCGCTATGCGTATACAACTTTTACTGGATCTGTTAATTTTATCCACATAATTCAACATATTTTCCATTTTTGTAACTGCGGTTTATATTTTGATCAGTTTATGGCAGGTAATTATTTGACTTACTAGCATAGTTCGGAATTCAGTTTCTAATTGTTTTAATGGCTGTCATCACATTTATTCGTAGTTGTTCTGTGTTTGAGTTGTATAAAGTGTTTTCTCATAATCCCATATTTATTTATAATTATGTTCTGCTACCTTTCATATTAGGTTGGATATAGCTTGAGAGTGAGGGTAGCACCTGCGTCATATTTATCTGCACGATACTATCTCACTCTCAATAATATCTTGTTATATATTGAACACTTCACATGCAGGTTTTAAAAATAATGATAATATAAATCAACTTTCAGGATCTCGCTTATGGCTAATGCTCGGTTTTGTGCTTTCGTTTGCATCGCTAGTTGCTGCTTTATGGATTATGTTTGCGGATTATGTGTTGGTAACAGGTGATCATCCGATATGGCCCGGAGTTGCACTGTTCCTTCATAATTTTCTGATTTTCATCTCTTCGCTTGTATATAAATTTGGTCGAACTGAAGAACTGTGGGGATAATAAATGACCACCGAACTTAGGAGAGCTGCAGCTTTCAGTCGACAATTATGGAATCAGTAGTTAACTGCTGAACTATTCGGAGACTTTTATAATACTGAATGCTTTTCCACTTCAAGGATTAAACGTCATTATTTAATAGTGAAACAATTGTAAAATTAACCCTTTTTCTAATTTTTCTTAAATAAGAACAGTTCCACCCTATTCTTTGGAGATACTTGACTTTAGAATTTTTTTAAAAAATTTCTTGAAACTGAAGCGGATTTTAAATTTAAGAGAAAATGAAAAGAGAAATATATGGGAATACTATTAAAATAGTCTTCAGACATGCTATAAAACATTTGTTTTTCCTTATTATGATTAAAGCCTAAGTCTATCGGAGAAGCTTGATGGTCTATCCAATGCTGCATCAGTTTTGTTGCATGTCGGCATGTCGATTCACCATATCCCAGTTTCGTTCCTTCTTATTCTACTATGCTCTTTTTTCCTTCTTTCATATTCGCGCATCATAATTTTGAGACCTGAAAAATACGGTTGCTACCAATGCTTTGATATGACAGTTTCTAAAATGAAACTCAAATGGCCGTTTTCTTACTTGAGATCGCTATACGTATATACTGCTTCTAGTCCTGTTTTCTGTAAAAAAGATTAACAAGCGAAGTGTAACAAGGCATAATGTATATAAAAGGATAAATTATTTAATTAAGAAAATATTATTTTCTACAAGGGAATCAAAAACCACTAGTGAAGCTTTGGAATAGAAAAAAAATCTTCACAGCTTTAGTATTATGACCAAAATTACACTGGTTAGAATGCAAAAGCTCGGTAATTCATTTTCAGGAATTAAGTAGGAAAATTTTGAAGCGGGTGGAAATTGCCAATCGTATAAAAACTTTACTATATTTTCCAGTATAATGATTCAGACATAATATTATTCAGGAAGGAATTTTGCTGCGGAAAAATCTCGCAAAATTTGAAGAATAAAAGTGAGAACGAGCGAATAGAACTGATTTAATAAAAATCCTAAAAACACAAAAATAATAGATATTTCTGCGTTCCTAAACTTGAAACACCGAGGGGTGTTGGAAACAAAATGACCGAAGTGATCGATGATGATGAACGACTAATTGGGATGATATTGTACTGAAAAAACAACGGAAAAAAAAAGTGTGCAGATGTAATGTCTCTGAAAAACTGTACAAAAAAGACAAAACATCGAAATAACTGCAGTTTCAAAAATAAATGTAGGACAGAATTTGAAGAATGAGCGGAACTGGATGCCTCACTTATAATGATCGGGTGCCAATCGCGTAAACTGAAGTATCCAAGAATTTATGAAGCTTATGAGCACTGAAAGCCTATAAGCGAAAAAGATACGACGCATAACTTCGAAAAAATGATAAGGAAGACACACATATAACATATACGTACACCAAAAGAGAATGAAAAATGATTTCATGAGAAAATAGTTTCGAATAAAACAAACTAATAACAAATGAAATTCGACCAAAACATCGGTCTAGAATATAATGGCATGGTACTACAAGTTGTAAATGTATCGTCACATAAAAAACAATTCGCGGATCATTAACCATTTTATCTTAACATAAAGTAATTTAGATAAAGTAATTTTAAACATTTTGCATAAAGTAATTTAGATTTCTTTTCCAAATTTTAATGTTATTGTTGCCAAGAAATGAAAATGAACCACCTGACAAACAAACTTCCTAAGGATGAACTAACTGAGTGAAGAAAAAAAGGCCTGATATCTGCCTTATTTTATTTTTCTATTATTTATTTTGTGAAGCAGTTGTGATTGGTCTTGTCGATGTATTATGGATAGCCATATTTCGATGTTTGAGTCGAGAATCATGAAAACACAAATAATTGTAACCTCGTGACAGCAGGACCAAACTCATCCCTATCCCAATCAATGATTTCATCCATACTTTGAGCCTAAAATTAAATGAATTATACAACTACACCAAAATTGCATTGCTAATCCCTCCAATGCATTCTTGACGGTATTTGACTATATTTAAATAATCAACCATACATCAATCTGTTTTGCATAATTCACATAAATGAAAGAATTTTTCAAATGATGAAGCGCAGTAAGCTAACAAGCTGAAGTAGTATACGAAAATATCCGTTAATTAATTTTTTCTCTTCAAAGAGTTGAAAGAAGAATCTAAACTTTGTTATTTAGTAAAAATGAAAGACACTATTCTTAGTTGTAATAACATTATCTTCTACTTTGTAGTAAAAGGTGACTCTTGCAACCGCTGCAATAAGACTTGCCTTGTAATAATTTTCAAATTAACAAAAGAGACAAGTATTTTTAAATACCCCTCCTTACAGATGTTTAATGAAAAAAGCAGCTATCTTACGTGTTCGGTAAAATATCTTTGAGAAAAATAACAGCAAACAACGATCCGTATGTAAACATGACAGCTGCAAATACGCTGTATTCAACACGTTTCCAACGACCCAAACGATTCATATGCGGTCGAAAATAGACTGCAAAGCCAGGACCGAGTGTAGCTGTACAGAGTATTGAAAATTCCGCTGCCAAATCATGAACTCCAAAGTATCTAAAACAAGAAAACTTAATGCTGGACATAGCATAGCACGACTTGGCTCAAAAATAATGATTATATACGTGTAGTAGGGTTTTCAACCTAAAGTTATGGACTATACCATTATACAAAAGTTGCTTGATTAAATAAGTTTCTATTTCCATTTATGTTGCATTGAAATATCTTAGTTATTCAACGCTTATATAAATATACTTTATGATTTTACTCAATTCGAAATATTAATTTCACTTACTAATACTTTTGAATTAACTTTTTTTACCAAGTAACTTGGAAAGCTTCCAAATATTGACAACTTTGCATTTTGGTAAGTATTTTTTTTACTAATTGCTGCGCTATTCTATTTGTTTAGAAACAATGTGTAATATACAAACATCATAATAAAGTAGTACATAAATAACTGATAAATAGTTTTCTTATTTAATTAAATGAAAAAGCAAGAAAACCTGGAAAGCAAGTCGGGTGAAAGAATGTGCATGGAGTATAATGAATGGCTCAGTGCTCCAACCATTGGTATGTAATGTGCACAAGTTGTTCGGGTCGTTAACCGTGGAAATAAGAAACGCTTCCATTTGCTAATTCGTTGATAAAAGTCTAACATTTCTAGACATAATTCAATTGGAAATTAAAGCCAGAATACATTTTTATTCAGACAAAAAATATTATTAAATCAATCTAAACTTCAAATATAGATATATCTTTCTCGTAAGAAAAAATAAATTAAAATTTTAATTCAAAGTAAAAGTTAAAATATATTTTTTCTAGAGAAAAGTATATGGGTAATTTGATCAGCATTTTAAAGCAGAACATCCTTTTTACAGAAGAAAGAAACTGCGAATTAAATTCGAATTTTTAATTCATATAAATTTTTTAGGCACAAATTGAGTTAGAAATCCGATCCAAATTTCAAGTTCCTCAAGAAAAGTTCGAATTTTAATTTCAAACATGGCTTTCTTGAAGGATAGTTAGACCAAAATTTTGATAAGCATAGACATGAAAGAGAAATTCATTCTTATCTGTAAGAAATGCCAAAATGTCACCTGGCGGGTACAACTAATCTCGGTTCCAGCATAGCATTAAGTAGCGTTAAATTTCGACTTGGGAAGAAAGAGTTGCGTAGCGTCATATACTTAGTGACTGGAGAGAAGACTTGGGGTATTGATGCTGGGAGTGTTTGTGATATGAGTTGCTTCTGAGGTCAAATGTTAAATGCTAAAATGCTTTATGTTATGAGGAGTCAGAGATTATTTGAAGTAATTCAATTTAAGGCTTTTTTTGATAAAAAGATGATGATCTTTGAGAATCTTAAACAACAAATTTTCTTAAATATTGAAAAATGAATGAGTGGAACCTCAATTTTGCCGCTTTAAAAATTAACTCAGAAAAAATGAAATGATTGATGAGATAAAAGCATGAGGAATTTATACATTCTTCTTATATTACATTGTTTTTCTTAAAGAATTAGGTTTATCTGTTGTTTAAGACTGTTTAGGAAAAAAAAGTCAACTGAAAGAAATATATGTTTTCTAAAATTAGGGACAGAAAAACGTCCTTAATTTTAGAGGACATTTACTCCACTAATAAATATCAATAGATTCCATAAGCAGTACTCTCCCTAGCCTTAAGCATTCTTGTTGTTTGATTTTTTACAAGAAATACGAGGAATCTAACAAAGTAAGACGATTATCGATTATCGGTTGATGACAAATATTAAGAGTTGCAAAACACACCTTAGTATTTCGGGTTTTTTTTGGATACTCCAACAGCGGGGAGATCTGCTTCCAAATCCACAAGTGGGCGAGATGCTTAATCACAAATGCATTCTTTTATTTCAGGAGAGACGCCATACCTTCGATTTTTAATTTATTTTAAACTTTTTCCCCAAATCAATGATTTTCATTAATTCGACATTATTAATGTCACTAGCACGAACAGCTGACAAATTTACGAAATTAGGAAAGCAGAAAATACTCGAAATTAACATCAAGAAAGAGATTTTCGGTATTGTCTTTGTTTTATTACCTGTCACTTGTTTTGTTACCAATAAGATAAACTGATAAAAAATGAAATTTTATAAAATGCTAATATTTGTGTAAATTATCAAACATACAATAGAAATACAAAGAGACGCATAGATATGCCGTACACAAATGATACGTTTAAGATGCCATTCAGATAGCAAAAGCGGCACAGATTTACGATCACATGCAAATCATGAAACGTACAATAGAAATAGAAAGGCACACACACAAGTGTACATCTCCATATACTTGGACAGCTGAAAGGAATTAATTACAAAAGAGTTAATGTCCGTAATTAAATGCATACCCAATATCGTCATTCTTAAATAGTTTTAAGTTATTTAAAATGATTGTAATTTAGTAGCTAATACATTGTGCATATATATATTCATATGTACATACACGTCTCTGTGTGTGTGTGTGTGTGTGTGTATGTGTAGGTAGGTTGGTTGGTGTAGGCGGCAGTGGTTGATTGTTATCAGATTATAAAAAGAGCACAAGCAAACAATGTTCTTCGTTATTGCTTGCTTGTTGTTCTTTCTTTTCATTTTTCCCTTCCGTTATTATTTCTCTTTTTTCGCATAAAAATTTTCAGGCAGTGGGAAGGACTGAAATGAAAAATTGTAATCATTTCAATTTTCGTGCAGTAATAGCCAACGGATGATAACAGAAACGTTGATAATAGTAGTGACAAGGATTATGGTAGTGGCAACAATATTGATAATAGTAGTTATAGCAGTTATGATAATGATCCTAATGATAATGACAACGATAGTAGCAGTGGTAATAATGATATGACAATACTGATAAGGATGGCAGTCGTAATAACAGTAATGGTGATAGCAGACAACAGAAGCAGTAGTGGCGACGATGATAACAGTAGTTGTAGTGATGATGAGGATGATAACAATAATAAAGATGATGACAAGTTACGGTGGAAAAATAGAATGACTGGAAAGAAAAGAAAAACCAATCGGTCTTCCACTGTTTGATTACAATTTTGAAACTGATAATAGCTTTACAATTTAAGCTAAATCGATAACAGTTTTTTTTTTTTTGAAAAACCGATGAATATTTATAATCACTGTATTTTTCTTATAATTTATTCCATACAAAAGATCGAAATTTTCACAACCATTTATTTATTTGCTTTTCTTTTAACTGGTGATGTTAAAATTTTAAATGAATTCGGTTTTAGTATATTACAAAATTTGTTGATAATCCTGGGAATTTCTCAAAGATATTCATTACTAGTAATTATTCGATTACCATAATGAACAGTCGGGAAAAATTCAATAGCCAACTTTTGGTGCATCTTCTTATACTGATTGTTTTCAACATAATTAAATCACTTTGTAAGCCGTAAACAAAACTTACTGAGAGAAGAAACGATAAGTTATTACTGAAATTTAGAAAGAAAGGAAAAATTGAAAACAAAGAGAAATATTGAAATGAAAGGGTATAAAAATGGAAATGTGCGCAAAAATTCAAAAACGTGGACAGATGCAATCCTATTAATAATTGTGAGTGAGACAAACATCAAACTCTTTTGCTAAATTCCGTTTTTCATTACAGTTGTTATACCGAAATATTTACACAGCTTATATCAATTTGGAATACAATAGTAATAACAAATTAAGAAGAAAGGAAAAAATTCGAAGAAGTGATTATAATTATAAGTAATGCAATTTTTTTCCTTTTTGTGGATTTCGATCCTTAAGTTACGAAGATATTCAATCGCTTCTTTCATGTCGATGTTTTTCATACATTTAAACAAAACGTCTTTTTCCGCTCATATAAGTATGTGTGTGTGTTTTTTGAGCCAAAAGAGTTCGATTAAATCGATTATTTCTTAATCGGATTTGTTATTCATTTGCATAATTACACAATCAATTCCACATACCGTTTCCTGCGTGATCGGAATTGTTGATAGAAGACATATATGAAGTTTTACGCTGAATGCATGATGCGAAATTTGTTTGCTTAGATCTATTTCACAGATATGGTACCAGTGGTTTGTTTCAGGCATGCAAATTATATTTAAAATTTGCCAACTTAAAAAGAAGATTGTATATCAAGGAAATTAGAGAAAATTTTTCGAAAATTTTATTTAACTTACTACGGAACTTTCAGAGTCTCCTTAATTCTGTTACTTTTTTGTTGAAATTGCTTCTCAGAGAGTGAAGAGTTAAGAATAGGGTGAAACAGAAGAATAATACTGAAGTTCTTCTAAAATTGCAATCAGATAAATATCTGTTAAAAAGGAAAAAACAAAAAAAAAACAAACGATTCAACATTTATGTCATATTTCGAACATTAAATACAAGTGATTATTTGTTGACATCTGATCTTTTGTACCCGAGCCAATTATTAGTCATCCCAGAACTGCTGCAATTCAAATTCAATACTATCTTCCAACAAATTTCTACAGTAACAGTTGCTTCTGTCGTTATCTGTGCTAGAATGATTGCTTAAAAAACTGAAAATTGACCAAATTTGTTTCTGGCACAAACAAATGGCATCACATCTGCAGATATCATTTGCATAACAATATTCAATGAGGCATTCTCTCACAATGCGGAAAAGAATTGATACCATTTGTGGCATGAATGAGGCGAAGCAAATTGCTACTTTAAGCAACTGTCAATTGTGTATGTATTTACTTAAGAGGGGGAGGGCCGAGAGTACGGGAAGCATAAAAAGTAGTTAACTTAGTTGAAATGGCAACTTAAAGATCGAATTTTAATTTTCATATTCAAGCTAAAACTATTCCTACCTCGCTTTTTGTTCATATATCACCTTGAACAAATGCAGAATTTGTTCCCAATAATTATTTCTCTCTTTTTTCACATGTTCGAAATATTTCTTTTTTTATGCTATGCAAAATTGTCTTTTCAAATAAAGAAACAATGTTGTGTGAATTAGAATGATTTGACCTCATTTAACTTTATTTTTCTTTACTAATAATTACATCTTTTCTTTGTCTCAATGATAATAGACTCATTTGATCAATTACTGATAATATTTTTGTATGGCAGTATATTACTTAGAAGGATGATTGTGCTGATTCTGCAGGCAAAGAAATGTGGCGTCAGTAGTGACATTGAATGAATCATTAACGAAATGAGCAATTCGTCATATAATGTTGACATTGAAGGAGTTAAAAAACAATCAGCAGGATTATTTAATTTATTTCCAACTATTTTCACGTTAAATTTAAAATCATTTCATCAAGTTTCAGGCTTGAAAAAAAAGCAAAACTGAAGAATTTTTAATCCAGTATAACAGTTAGAGAAATTTTTCACTAAATCTATAATTACCGACTTTTTTCACTCATTTTAAACAAGTGTCTGCTATTGAAATATTTAAAAACAGGAATCTGACCAGTTTGTATATTAAATGCTTTTAATTTTCTATATTAAATTCTAGAATTAATTTTTGAAATTTTTTAAAAATCCTAATGTTGAAATCCATTTTATTATTCGTTCATTAAAAACCTGAAATCTGGAATTTTCATTTTAATTCTATGAAATATTCTATTCTTTCATAAATGTTTGTTAAGATTTTTTTGCATTTGATAAATTTTTTCGGAATAGAGAAAAGTTACAGCCAAAAATATTTATGCTAGTGATTAAACGAGCAATTATTTTTGGCATCGAATGCACACAGTATATTTATTTAGCGATTTATCATTATCTGTTGATCACATATTATCATTTTCCCTTTTTCTCTACTTTCAATATCGCATGACAATTATAGGAAAAATAAGCGTAAACAACCAATTATTAAATTCATACGGCTCATTTAACTGATAAAAGCATGTCATAATGCTTGGAAATATTCTATCATTATTTCCTTGTTTTGATAGCTAAAAAATCTTCCTCTTATTTTTTCATGCAAACTAGGCTTTTTCATCTAAACTGACCATTTAAACATTTCAGATCGTAAATATGTATGTCTAAATTAATCGTTAATTTATTTTCAATTAAAAGTGCAACCAGCTCAAGGAAAGGGATAAATTTAAAAATGAAAGAAAAGTTCTATATTTGATCACTTAGTTAATTCATTTTTGTTTGTACATTTAATTTGTTTGGTTGGTAAGATTTCAGGAATCAAATAATATTTCATTTTCTTCCAAACAGTTGCTATCGAAAGGATTCTGAGTCAGAGGAGAAAAGCAGTTTTTATTAAAAATTTGCAAAATTTAGATCAATACTTATGCTAAATTCCCTTGAAGGTCTATTTTCAGAGTGTTAAAAGCATTTTTTCTTTTTTAGCAGAAGAGTGCTTTTACATTCCATTTTCTGATTGAACAAATGGAAAAAAGAAAGAATCGAAGAATGTTTCAATTCAAGCTTTTCCATATGAGCAGTTGCAGTTAATAGCATCAATAGCATAGCTAACTAAAAGGGAAAGAGAAAAGAAACAATACAAAATCCTTTCACTTTTTTTCCTGTTCATTAATGGATTGCTCTCGTCGTGAAATGGAAAAAGTAATACGACAGTAATTAAATAGATAATTATTTTGTTTTTGTCCCTTTTCTTTCCTCATTTCATGAAATGATGAAAATCACACATAATCCAGCCACACATAATGTATTATAACAGTCTATTAATAGTTATATCACTGGAACTGATAAGCCATACCAGTTAAATTTAATTGACGTGATATTAATTAGAAAGTTAGTGGTCTCGAAATCTTCCCACATTTACAGTGTTTGCAGTTGTTTAGCTGAAATTCAATGTAGTAATAAAAGAAAGATTGCAAAACATATGCATGGAAGCAATCTCCGCTTCCTGTGCATGGACAAGGAGATAGCTAAGAGGAATTTTTGAATTCAGTTCTTGATTTGCTTAAAGCATCTCGTTTTCTCAACTCTGGGGATTTCCACTTCTCTGACAACCCGTCGTAGCATTATTGTATTTGGCTTCTTCCCACTAACGTTCCTTCCACTATTTCATTTCTCTTCCTTTTTTAAATTTCTTCTACACATACTTTTTTCCAACAAACATTTCAAAACTGCATTCCACCAAAATTTTATCGATTTGATCTCAGTAAATTTCTTCCAAAGGACTCAGACTTACTTCTTATTGAATCGCACATAACGTTGAACTTGGCCTTACTATGAGAGTTCGGTGTAGTATGCAAAATGTACCAATAATTTTTCATCCTTTTTCAATTTTGTAACATTAAATAATTCAATCAATGCATTTTTTCACATCGGATATTTATTAATAATTCTATAGATGGAATTAGTTTTTCAAAGAATTTTTTCAGCAAAAACCAAGTCAATGTTGTCCGTCACCTTTTTCATATTTGCTATCTGCGATGCAGTATGGGTAATTTTTTCTATGATTCATTGAATTAATTGATACTGTATGATTTTCGTTTTATTTTCATACAACTAATTTGAGATTGGTGAAGAGTACTGGACAACGGTCAGCAGTGATGGTTCTTTGCTTGGCGATCGAACCATCAAAGACTTCCTGATATTTCACACTGCTCATCTCAAAGTACCTATGAGGAAAGCATACGTCGCATTTTGGTACATTTATCCTATTTATTCACTTCTTTAATTTAGATGACCTCTTTGGGGAATTTTTGAATTAAGAACAAAGAATATGGTACCTGCAATTTGATGATATGAGTGACATATTCAGGGTAATGTATGATGAACTTGGCCACTATGAAACATTTGGACATGCATATTTGGTTCAAAATGGAGTTTGTGCTCGCTTTGTGGATCGTTATCACAAGGCCAAAACGATCTGCGGAGGTTTTCGTGTGCTTTCCAGAAGTAACAACAATGGAAATTTGGCGTAATTCTTGAAAAATTATACTTTGCCAACAGAAATTTATGATTAAAAGTTTATTGATTCTTTCATTTGCATCTATTTATTCTATCTGTAAATGAAACTTGTCTCAAGGTTTGAAGTAAAAGCGGGGATATAAAACAGAGAAAAAAAGTTTACAGTTTTACTCTAATTTCTCAAATAAAGAAATTAGAGTAAAACTGTAAGCTAAACGGAACTAGTATCGGTGTAAAGCTTAAAATTCTAATTTCCTGATGATGAATGAATTTTCTTGATCAGTACATGCACACTTTATCATCTGTAATTTTTTAGATTTAAATTTGTGCAGGCTGGACAAGCTAACGTTCATGAAGCATTGGAATATCGAGGTAAACAGGCAGCCAAGATCATAAGTTGGACAAAGAATGAAGTGTGGTACGGTAATGCTTGCATGAGGGAAGCATTTGCCGAAGGTATCGATTATGAAAATAAATATTTCAAGGTAAACAAACATAATGATTAGCGAGTAATTAATTTATCTCCGTTAGAATATCTAGAATATGCCACAAAGTATCATTGTTTTGTGGAAGGAAGTGAGAGTGGCAATAAAATCGAGAAAGCCATACAAGACTTTTTAGAAGCTTTAATGAAAAAAAATTAACTTTTTATGGAATTTTTTTTATAGAATCAACCTTGCTGTTTGTATACATAAGTAATTCATTTTCTAATCAGAAACTGGTGAAGTGTTTATGAAATATTTCACAAATTTCATTTTTGAAATAACAAGCAATGCTTGCTATTTATTCTTTAATTTTTGCTTGAAGGCTTCAATGATCGATAAAAGAAGAAAGGAAAATTTTTCTGTTTGAAAATGTTCTTCTTTTATAGATTAAAAGTTGAAATGAAATTTTTTAAATTTCATTTTTAACTTTCAACTATTCACGGAGTAGGATCCTTCCTTCTTATTTATTAGAAGTAAGTTCTTCTTAGCGTTATATTCATGCAATATAATTTACAGATATCATATGTTAACGATCCCTTCTCCTATCAACAAAATGTGTATATTCTCGTAAGCTGCAATCCGGATGATCCGGAAGCCGGAAAGTCGCAATACTATGCATATTATCATGTTCCAGAAAAAGAGTACCAATTTTTTTACATATAATAATTTGCAACAACAAATAATCAAATTAAGAAATCGATTTATCCAATTACTTGATGCATCAAAATTCGTAGGTGAGGATAGTGATTTAAATCATTAAATTACTATCAATCAATATCACTTTCAATTTGGTTATCAGTGATTCGAATCAACTACCGGTTTTGACCGGATTAAGCAGGTAGTGGAGTTTTTTCGGCTTATATCAGAACAATAAAGTTATGACATATCGTATTTTTTTGATTTCTATTCCATGAAGACGTATTCAAATGAAATTTTGTCAGATTTCATATGGTAGGAAGCTATATTGAACAAATTATTGCTATTCCTGCTACTCTCATTGACCTTTATTCGATCTTTTTTAGAAAAGGTCGCAGTGAGCTATTGCGGTTTGATCAACAACATCAGCGAACATTACGTCATAAACAACAGCTAAATGAACAACAAATTAAACGAGAACTACAAAACCGTGAAAATGAAGGACAGTTTAGATATGAATTGCGTCGGTATCAGCAAAGATATCAATTGGCAAACGAACGGCAACAATTCTCGATGGATGATGAACCCGACGAAAAATGGAAATTTTATCAACACTCCCGACGACTTTAATTTCGTTCACAACATGATTTTATTTTTTTCTTCATTCAGGCTTGAATATTCATCGCTGCATATTTTGATAGATCCAATCGCTTTTGTTCATTTGATTACGTCACTTCAAAGTCCACATCATTTTGAATTCCTTAAACAGAAAAATAAGAGAAGTAACGGAACTTCTCTTTTGACTAAATGCAACTCAAGATAATGTCTTGTTTCTATGTTAGCCAACAATACGAGACTACAGAAAATGAAGCTGATCGAGCGACATGTGCCTCCTGCGACCTCATAATGCATTCCTTCAGACTGTAAGTTCATTAAAAGTTAGCACCGTAAGTTCCTTTTTACATTCTTTCGTAGTATTACGACATGCAAATGTAACATGACATTAATGAACTCTTCCATTTCATTTCATTCTGTTACGAATTGTCACCGTCGCTCATTTGTTCTGTGACAAACAAGTGCCAATCAAGGCAATTAATGACTGCCTCTATGAAATACTTTGTGGATCGGCGTTTCTAATGAATAGGTAAATCGTTTAAATTCTTAGAGTAATTTATTCACTAATAGGTAGCAGTTCTTCCTTTCATTTTCCATTTGATGAATTTCATGAAGTGGTATAATGTTTGAAAGTATAGCATTTTGATCAGTAATCCAATTTTGTTAATATTTCCGATGAGGCTAATTGTTTCCAATATTTTCTATTATTAAATTTTCTTTTATTAACTAAACTGTCTCAATCTAAATTCGTCTTATTATACGAAACAGTTAGCGAATCCTCTTAATTACTTTCATCAACTGTGCCTTTTGTCTTTTTCTGCCATCTCATTGTCATAATTCATTTTCAAACAATCAACTGCCATCATTTATAAAGTAGCGATGCTTCCAATTCAAACCAAAAATAATCGATTAAATAATGTGTAATTCCAATCTCTTTTAGCAATGTTTAAAATTTTTCAACCTAAAATGAATCAGACTGCGGGTCTCTCAAAGCATCGCTATATTACCACAGAATATTTACATGAATATGCAGACATATATGTACATCACTGCCTTAAATGATTTTATCACTTTTCGTTCATAACTGCCTTAATTCATCATTTTGTCAACTTTTTACTCATAAATGTGCAAATGTTCTTATCATTATACGCTGACTAAAAATTAGAATTACCTAAAAAACGTTAACTTCTCAACTCACTCACTTCAAAAAATAATGAATCGAATAACCGATTTTGCTAGTGGCAAGATAATTTATCAATACAGGATGATCAGGAACGGCTCCATTCAAATCATCCGATAAACTGTCGCCCTCTTCGGAAGACGATTCTGGATTTGCCGAAAAACGGCAAAAATATATCACCGTTGACATTAAAATATTAAGGGAGCATTGCTTCCCCATTTTCTTTAAGACTCAGATGATGAGAATCTGAAACTTCCATTCGAAGCATCGAGTGGATTCTGAAAGGAATACCTCTTTTTTCTTTTTTTTTTGACATTCTCTCTCTGCTATCACACAAATATGATTATCCATAATTCCAACAACAAACCTCATAAAATTCTACGCAGCAAAATGTAAACCATAACTCTCACAGCGACTCACGTTGATTTCTTTCACGTAATTCTATCTGTCTTCTGGAACTGAATTCGTCATTCAAATGAAAAACATTGATTGAAATCGATGATATATCAAACGAATAACGCTTGCAATAACTTTTATAATTCATCTTTTCTATACTTTTCACTTATTTTTGAAATGGAACAAATTGCTTTCTTCCAGACTCCAGAATTATATTTTGCATATCAATTACTGTTCATCATGTAATTTTTATGTCTGTTCACGCCAACTTCACGCCAAAGTATTTAACTACCCTAAACACTATGTTATTTATTATTACAGACTTCAAGATATTTTTACTGAAACTAATTCAATCGATCATTTAAAGAAATTCTCTTTTCAATTTGATGGATGCAAGTTAGCCTGGATCAAAAGGATCGCCTTATATGCCATAATAAAACTTCAGAAATTTGATAGCAAGCAACAGAGCTGATATGAGATCATAAATTTAGATAAAAAGGAACAATTAGAAAAAATTTAATAAAAAATCAAAATATTCAAAAAACGAACACAAAACAATAAATTCACTTATTACTTGTGCGTTAGCCCGCGCACTTTCATACGAAAAAAACGATTCAATAACTAAGTTTGAACGAAAAAAGGGAAAACAGATCAAAAATAAAACACAACAAAACTGAATATGTATATATTGCAAACTGGCGTGACATCAAGAAACAGTTAATAAGCTCATAAGTAAGGATTAAAAGTAAGATGACAGAACAATCCTTCCTACAACTTTCATCAAATGGTTGATTTTTCAACAAATCTTTCCCCGAAATTTCATTTGAAACGAAAAAATGCGTCATTTCTGTAAAAATTAAATTTGATTATCAGATAGTAGCTTATTTACCTCGTAGTATTGCTTCTAAAATGTCACATCACTTCATGTTATTCTTAAATGCTTGCTTGATCAGATTAGATTAGATTAATTCTCCTTCGCACCACAATAAATATCAGGAAAAGAAAACGACGGATAGCAGTGGTAGTGATAATATCAGTGCAAATGTCCACATTGATTAGTGCCTAAATGAGGAAAAAATGGATAATATAATCAAATAAGAGAGACTTTGTCAGCTTCTCCGAGAAAACACTACCAAGAGAAAATAAAAATTTGCATGCTTGCTAATGAAGTAAAGTTTAAATTAAGAATGATAAAAACGTAGATTAAAATTTGCTGCTTTCTAAAATTATTTGAGGCAACTTCTGAATGAATTACAATTAATAACTAAATTCTATGAAGAAAGAAAAAAAAAGTATGCAATAATTTAATTGGTTAATAATTTGAACAATGTATTCCTTTCCTCTTTGAATAGCTAATTGCAATTGCACACGACAGAGTAGAGAGTTTTTATCAACAAAGGCAGAAAAAAAATTAGGAACGATGAAATTGTCCAGTATTTTCAAAAAAGGAATAAGGTTTCTATCATTTAAGCGTTTTTTAGAATTTCAAGCATGAAATTTCAAAATTTATAAATTAGCACAAATATATGACGGAAGTTTTCAACAATCTATGAACTATTTAGTTAAATTTCAACTAAATTACAGAAAGTGAATGGGATGGAAAAAAGAAACCAAATTAAGTCTTAAAGCTTTATCAAAACATTCTCAAAGCAAATAACAAAGCATCAAAGGATGAAGAAATACGTGAATCATAGTGGGAATGTTGCATATTTTAACAAATCGAAACAAATTATTTATAACGACAGCTTAGTCCAAAGATAAAAAAGAAAAAAACAAACTTGAAATTTTGAATAAATTTCGAGAAAAAAAAAACTATTGAAAGATGTGAAGTACTAAAACGTAGAAGAACCGTAAACTTAAATATTTCACAATTGCCAAAGTCAAAGACAAGTTCTTCCAATGATAATGATCAGTAAAGTTAAAGATTGTAATTTCATCTTTAATAACTAATTTTGAAGTGATATTATTTACGGTTTCTAAAGTAGAACATCTATCTTCCGGGATGTCCCAGTAAAAGCCCACTTGTATACCATAGCAGGAAGAATTTTCAGAATATCGAAAGTAATATCTTTCAGTTTATCTATAAAATGAGCAATTTAAAATGTTGGAACGAGCTTTAAAATTGTTTCAAAGTATTTCTTTATGCTTCGACAATTTTGAAAAAGGAAAAAAGTGTAATTTCGGAAATATGGATCAGTATCCAGAAAACGATTCTTTCTCTCTTTAACTCGATGTGAACAAACGAAAAGTGAAATCGGCTGACTAGACAAGAACAAAACTGATGATGAGGAAGATGAATACAAAGGATTTCTGAAAAAGAAACGAATTATCAACAGACACAAATAAGCACAGCCTTGAGATCATTTGCCTCAAATGTTGACATATCAATTTAATATATTGAAACTATTCTGTTATAATTAATCATCATTTAATCAACAATGGCAACCATACAGTCACAATCACTTTTCATTTTGAAATTCGATTCAATCGCTTGGAGGAAATTATTAAAAGAAAAATTTTCATAATTTATCAAATAATCGTAGATGATTCCATTCCAGCTGATTGCTTCATAAATTATCCGGCATAAAGATAACCTCATAACGACACGGAGTGTCCGTATGATTTATTCTATGATATTTTTCACCCCAACCTTTGCCAACACTGATGTTCAGGAAACTGAGCGTATTAGCCGGATCATGTTTCGCGACATGGCTTTCACTTCTCGCTTTCAGTATCGGGTTATTGCATCCACGATGAACCCGATAACAATACCCGTTACTCACCCTTCTGATTGTTTCCGATTTATGTAAACTAAATGATGACGCGATGGAAATAAACAACGGCTTATCACCACTGCAACAATTATCATATCAGTTCATTTATTGCTCCCACCTTGACCCAACCTCTGTACTCCTAACCTCTTATCAACACAAATTCTTCATTTTTCATTTCTTTTTCAGTTCATCCCCACAGGCTATTTATTACAAGCCATTGGCATAATAACGCGCCTATTTTTAAAAAAAGAAAAAAATGTTCCCGAAGTAACGATTTAATTTAGTTGAATTTTGGAATTTCTTCCTTACTAGTGGATTCTACAGTAAACTACTGCAAACTTTTAGGACTCCTTTGAAGAAAAGGTATACCTATTATAGAGCCATACTTCTTGTGACTCATCCACATCCACTTGCCTAATCAGTGCAAATGATACTTCGTTATCAATATCCCACTGGTTGCAAACGTTTTGGCCATCGTGTACGGAATGAGCCAACAGTCCAACAGCAACAAATTGTCCGGAAAGCATCACACCGTGTTCATCCATCCGCTCTTTCTCTTTCCACCTATACAAATGAGCCCAAGCTGAAATCTTAACTCATATTAAATCATCATACTAGCTTATTTATATAACAGCCAATTACGAATACTTTTTCTAGATGACCAAGCAGACAGCCATTTTTTCATAACTGATCACAGCAAACGAAAAGCTAACTTATACTTTTGAAGCATGCTGCAGCTGGAACTGCCACTGCTACTATTACCAGTTGCAGTAATTAGCATTCATCTTATTGGATATATAATTACAAATTCCTTTAAATTTAAACATCTTTAATAATTTTATAATTTTTTCCAGGAAACTAAATTATCTATTCGTTTGCTTTGCTATAAATGAATATTTGCTTATTTATCTTAGTGTTTATCGGATTTAGCACGGGAATTAACGAAAATTGGCGGGAGATTTCCTTTTCCCGTCTCTTTCAACCTCTGTTTCCCTTCCATCTGTCGGTGATGTATTTATCCAAAAATTAAAAACCCTTAAATTTTCTGTCAATACATTCAACATTCTTCCAACAATTTTCTGACTAACGAGGGCAACGATTTATAGTTCTGAGCAGAATCGACAACATAAGAAACCTAATCTTAAGTAACTCTTCCGTTTACAATAGCAACAGCTTCTTCCATTGAAAAATATCAATAAAATAAAGGAAAAATCATTAAAAAAAGAACAAAAAATAATTCGAACAGTAGCTCAGAACTTAATTCACATTAATACTTAACATTTTAGATTAAAATTAAACAATAATTAATAACAACATAGCATAGGGTGACGTAGCGAACGATACGTAAGTGAACTATGAAAAGAAGAATACAATAAACATTTCAATTAGTAAACAGATAATGAAAGATGATATACCCGAAGAATAACGCTCACTGCTGCGTGTCGGTGAATCCGAGAGAAGTGGCAGTATGCGAGACATTGGCAAAACGTTATTTGCAACACTTGTGGCCGTGATTTCATCACCGAAACCGGTATCATTTGTTATAACTGAAATGTTGGGAAAATACAAGGAATTCGGAACAGGCCGAACATATCCCTACCGATTATTTAACTGAATGCCGGACAATCTGCATGCAAAATGCATCAAGTCTTTAAACAACTTAATCTTTGATGAATCTTGATGAATAGGTTTTTATAAAATCTTGAGGATATGCTTCGCTATTTCATCGTTAATGCTAATGAATCGGTAGTTATTCCAGTATCATAGTAAACTGTCGACAGTAAATTTCGGAATAAGTATCTAAATAGTCGATATCAGTTATCCGAAAGTACGATCAGAAGAATTTTATTTATTTTCAGAACAATTAAAAGAACCGAATTTACAGGAAAACTCAGAAAAAGACTTGTAAATTTTTTTCGTGAATGCGACTTACAGGAATGATCAACAATAGAAACGGCGCCATTCAAGCCACCGGATAAGCTGTCCTCTTCGGAAGACGACTCTGGATTTGCTGAAAAATGTATCGTCGTCAGCATGAAAATGTTAAAGAAACATCGCTTTATGATTTCCGTTAAGACTGAGAATTTGAAACTTCCTCTCGGAACATCTGGTGGATCCTGAAAGGAAAGGTGGCGTACCTCTTCTTTGCTTTCTCATTCTCTCTTTTTCTTCTTTTGATGTCCTCTCTCTTCGTTCATCCGTTGGAAAAACATTTCATCAACTCACATGGTTCTTTGTCAAGAAAGATGCATTTCATCTTACTACCAAAATATTTGCTTTCCAAAGTTTAGTTCAAAATTTTGATGCACAATCGGGGAATGCCGGGAAGATCAAAGAAGTCCAGTTAACAGTTCTAAGATGCTTCTAGAAGGAAGAAGTAATTCAAACAGTTAAAAATGGATAAGATAGAGAAAAACAACTGTTAATACCAAAGAAAGAAGAGTAGGGGATGGGTGACATCCAAAATCTCTCTTCGTCAATCATTCCTACTGCTCTCATAAAATCTTCCTTTTAAATTAATTATATTCAATTTTTTCGTAGATAAGAAATTTGTATACCAGCGATTGCTTGCCGCCTTCGTTTACATAGTGATACTTTTCTCAAATTTGTTGGTGACATATTGTCTAAAAGAAATAATATAAAAAAGATTTCAAAATACTTTTAAAATGAAATTAATCTGGAATACCTCAAAATCACTCACTTCCAACTTTTATTTTAAAAAAAACTTTTTTTTGTTTTTTAAAATTTGGAAATATTTTTGTAAAAATACTGAAAAATTAGTATCATTCGCACAATTCAACTTGGTTACGAGAACTATTATTATTAACATAAATATAATTATTTGTTATTAGTGTTCGTCATTAC